AGTGAGAGATACTCTCTCTGTGTATCTGCCCTGTAATTAGGGTGTTCTCTCTCTATGTGCCTGCTCTGCAGTGAGAGATACTCTCTCTGTGTATCTGCCCTGTAATTAGGGTGTTCTCTCTCTATGTGCCTGCCCTGCAGAGTGGGATACTCTCTCTGTGTATCTGCCCTGTAATTAGGGTGTTCTCTCTCTATGTGCCTGCCCTGCAGAGTGGGATACTCTCTCCCTGTGACTACCCTGATCCCTTTGCCTGCCCGGCACACTGTAAAGTGCTCCTCATCCACTCTGATGCCACCTCTGTCATTTACTTATCGTGGCTGAAGACATGCTCCTGTTTAACAGAAGGACTGGTTTTCAGCTGTGCTATCTACATCACAGTGTTAACTGCTGGGGGGGTGGTAGCAGACCAGGGAGGAGAGCGAAGCTGCAGCTCTCTGCGGCGCTGCACAAATTAACGTGTCCTGTTAGGGGCAGAGGTGCAGTACAGGAGACATGGCCAGGCCCCGCAGAGAGGATGGACAGCATTTCTGCTACTGCTTCCCCTGTAGACAGTGTCACCTGACCTCAGATGAAGCGCTGATGTCCAATTAAAACAGCCACACAGCCTGAGACTTTGACTCTTCCCAGTCTAGATGCAAGTGTGACATATAAGCATGAACAAAAACAAAAAAAACATCGATTAGATCTCCAGTGGGTAGGGGTGTATCTTCTGGAGAGTTCTCTCTGTCCTGGTGGTGTATTTTTAAAACCAGCTCCCTGTGGTGCTGCTTGTCATCTTAGTGTCTGACGGCACGGTCCGTAGCCTCATCCCCTCAAACTGCCGGCTCCCGGAGTCCGTAACGAGACATATTTCACTGCCAGCGTTTCCCTGGAGACGGGCTGTCTCGCTGCACCATTGATCCGAGCGAGCCTGCCGTCGGTGCTGGTCCAAACACGACTCTGTTTTGGGGGTGGGGAGTAATCACAGGGCCCATCAAATCTGAGAGAACATCAAACTGAGGCCTATGGCAGTCTCTGTAACTGGCAACCCCCCCCCCCCGCCCCCTTCACATACTCGGGCAGCCCCCTGCCCCCATTGAGACTGGCAGGTTAGTAGCAGCCCGGGCAGACCCAGCCCATAATAAGTGGTATTAACGCCTTAGAGCCTAGCACATAGTGTTGACATCACTTGGGAGAAAACAGGAAGTGAACAAATCCCCAGTCTGTGAAAGAAGCACCACTTGGAGATGGGTTAGGGTTAGGGTTAGGGTTAGGGTTAGGGTTAGGGTTAGTAATCCCAGAAGCTGCCGTGGCGTGTCTGTGATTTCTCTGCGTTCATTCTGAAGGGGTTACCTGGCCTGCTGGGAAATTTTGCCTGTTTTGCTGCCCACGCTTTGTACAGCGGGTGTAGGAACCTAGCGATGTGTGTAAGAGGTCAGAAGTAGAGTGAAGAAGACTCTTTGGGTCTTCGGGTCTGTGCAGTGAGGGTCACCTGACCTGCCCATTTTGCCATCAGTCACAATTTTTCCATCCTAGTCGGTAACAGGTTAGCTTGGTCTTCCTGGCTGGAGGCTGGTTCGCTGTGGGCCCCCCATTAAATGCCCCATCTGACATCGCCGTGACATCGCCTCCCGTGCGTCTCACCTGTCCTCCAATTCATCCTCCTGCTCGGGGCACACGTTCACCCACCGCCTGATACGTTACGCCACGTGTGTCTTCATGTTGTTTTGCATGCATGCGTGTATTATAACTCACCTACAGATATACACATAACCCGGCTGTAGTATATTTGTGATATATGTAGCTACAGCATCTACAGGCTTACAGATGTGTAAATACAACCCTTTGTTGTGCTGCAGATGCCTGTCTGTTTGTGTATAGAGGAGAGGCAGGTCGGTGTTGCTCGTGGGGATAATAGGGATTACCTGTACTCAGCCTGATGAGGAGTCCTTACGTCAGGCTCTGCTGTGACTCCTGTCTGGCCCGGGTGCTTGTTGCATAACGCGACATCTAGCAAAAGTGTCGCAACACCAGTGTAGCCAGACACGGTATCGACCGTCTTTCCCAAAGAACCCGCAGGACCCCGTCCGACACGTCACTCCCTGCCTTGCTTCCGTACTGCCCCCGACGGCTCAGTGTTCCGATACCTCCCACCTCCATGCCGCCGCTGAAAGCGAGCCCCGTCCTGCGGCAAGTGAAGCCAAGCCTGACGCAGCTCACAGTGCGTACCCCTCACAGTGCGTACCCCTCACAGTGCGTACCCCTCACAGTGCGTACCCCACGGCCCTCTGCAGGCAGCACGGCCTCACCACGTCGTTTAACCACTCTCCTCTAATTGGCGTTTTAATTAGAAGTGTCCCTCTGTGCATTAAGGCTTAATTTTCAGCTGCTTCTGCAGCTTGAGTTTTGTGGATCCGGTGTGTAAAATGTGCTGCATGCTACAGTGTGGACAATGAAGCGTGATGTCAGAGCCTGTAGACTGGTGAAGTACTACAGAGTAGCAGAGCAGCAGAGGGGACAGAGCAGGCCAGCATAGAAATCGACCCCATGTAGAGTGTTGGGTCCAGATCAAAGTTGTCATAAAAAAAAAAAACATTTTTAACACTGTTGCATGCAGCGTTAGTGGTCAAAGTTGCTAACTGCTGTAAGATTTCAGAACCTTGTTAAGGTAATTTTGTGCATTTGCTGTTTGCTGGAAAGGGGTGCTGGGGGTGCCCCAAGAATGAAAGAAGGCTGCATGATGAGTAAGCCCCCAGTGTGCATGGCTGCTAGAGTTGCTCTGTGCTGTGTGCCAGCTCTAGGTAGCAGTGTCGATACTGGTTTCTCCTGTTGTACTTCATGTATGTAGCTTTGGACTGGTAGTGTCTGACCAAGAGGACTTTTCATGAAGTTTAATTTCTACTGCGTCTCCCAGTGGGAACAGGTCCTCCAGGTCTTGTTGTCTCCTAGGTGCTGAGATGCCCTAGCCTTTGGCAAATTATCCCAGCTGGCAAATCCCAGGTTTTTATTTAGGACGGCAAACTCAATTAGCCAATTCCGACTGCCCTCTGATTGAGTCAGGATTCTGATGATGCTGCCTGCCATGGCAACAGCCGAGCTGCCGTGGAGACGGATGTTCTGGACGATCTATTTAAAGACCAGGCTCTTCCCTGGTCAGCATCGAGGCTGTCCTCGCCGCCTTGCTCATGCGTAGGGGTATCATTGTGTGTCTTTCTGTGTGGGGGCATTATTTGTGTCTCTGTGTAGAGGGGATGTATGTGTAGAACATGAATCTCTCCATGTTAACAGAACATATTTGGTCTATATGTGTCTCTTGGTGCTGTTGATGAAGCAGAATGACTCTGAGATAGCAACGTTTGCTTGCTCCACATCCAAAGCTGCTTTTCATACTTTTAAGTGACTCTGACAGTGATGGCAAATAATCAGGAGGTAGTGGGGGTCTGATGGGAGATCAGAGCCACACCATCGATCCCTCTCTGGGGTAGATCAGAGTGCCCCCCCCCCCACCCCTAGCTAGGCTCTGATTCAAAGCATGGGCATGGATTTCCACTGCAGTTTTCATCTGCCTCTGTTCTGATCTCAAGATTTTTCTAAGCCTCTTGTACTTGTTTACCAGCACCCCCATCGTATGGTTTATGGTTTTGTGAAATAATCATAATTCTGACCATCAAGCCTTTGCTCATGCACCCACAGGTTAAACTTACATTTTCTGGTGGTTTCTATGAACTCCACGAGTGTTGGACTTGTGGAAGTTTCTGCAGCTTCTGACAGCTAATTTTACCCACCGATCTCATTTAACATTCCGTCACCCACACCAGTTGATAACTAATGAAGCATAATAATAACAAGGAAAATGGACCGGAAACAGTTGAGGATTTAGTTTGGCGAAATCAACATCTTCATCTCTCGTTATTTACGCTAAGTGGGTACCGATGACAAAGACCATGGCTTTGTCCCCTCTGCTCGGTGCTGGCTCCCCTTTTACCGTATTCCTCCTAATGCTAAGTCCCCAGCACTTCCTGGTGCTCCCAGAGCTCCCAGAGAACATGTGACGCAGGCGCTTCCTGTTGGCATGCTCCTCCGGTCACTCCCCGCACGTGGAATGACACGCCTCCGTTTCCATTGCGTCTAGGTGCTGATTAGATCTCGAGGCCTTCTCCAGCCCCCGGTCACGTTGCCCACTGGTGTTGTCGTCATGGGTCCTGACCCTGCTCTCGCCTGTGTGTTTTGTTAATGTGAGAGAGGAAGCAGAGAGCCTGTTGGGGGTGGCAGCAGAGGGCATAGCGGGCTGCCATCGTAGTTTGTTCTCCCTTTTATGGCGAGCTGAAGCCAGCCTGCAGAAGGCTGATTAAAGATTGCTTGGAGTGTCTGGGAAAAGCACAGCGCTCCATCAGATCTGCTGGCGGCCTTGCGGGCCTTGCTGCTCGGCTCTCACACCAAACAAACCATGGATCGGTACCTGATGAGCACCAGCGGAGTGCTGTCCTCTGGCACGGGAACTGGTACTCGCCAGTTACACACCAACACGCAGCCGCTTTGCTTTGACGTGCTGGTACCTTTACGGAAAGCAGAGCAATACCAGCTTGACTGGAAACACAGACCCCAGCAGGCCTGGTCTCAGTTTCCTGGTGGCATCTCAAAGGCAGCTATGAACCCATCGGTCCTGCAGTCGTCAGTAAGTTTGAAGTGTAGCTCCGGACGCACGGTGTCTTTCCGAGGTTATGAAGCTTTGTGCCGTTTGACGCAGCCGTCGGCTTGGGTTCTGTCAAGGCGTGAGGACAGCTGTGTGGTCGTGTACTTTATGGATGCTCACCAGTGGTCAGTGTGGGCCTTTTTTGAGCTTGTGTGTTGACTATTGGTATGCCTGGTCCTTATTGTCGACGTCGTTGTTGGTTAGTTGGTTGGTTATCCTACGTTAGCAGCCAGTCTTTGGGATGAGCTTAGCCAGTACCACAGGGACAGCGTGGCTGTGTATGGAATCAGGTGTGATGGGACTGTATCTCTGCTTGCCACCCCCCCAGCCTGCTGTTTACCAAAGTGAAGCTAGAGGAGGTGCTTCTGGGACCGGAGGCTGCCCTTCGGACCTGTGAGGACATGCTGCAGCTGTGGCAGAGTCGCTATGAAGGAGTTCGCTCTGGGTGAGTGTGTGTGTCTGGGTGTGTGTGTATGTTAATTTTGTCCCGGCTTGTTACCAACACCTTCCTGCACTGTCACAGGGATGCTGAAGAGGGCAGCAATGACTCCGACCCAGTGACCCTGAGCCGGAAGCCCAGTGGGACCCACCTGACCCTCCCCGACTTGCATGATGTCGAGACCGGTCCGTGCGCATATCGTCTGCCGCCGACTCCTCGAACGCAAATTGGGAATCCCACGTGATGAAATCCGAGCGTATTCCTACCTTGCTTGCTGTTCCTCTGACACATCCTGCAAGCCGTCCCTGCAAGATGAGATGGTGGTGTTGTTACACGCAAGCATGCTCGTCCGTTGTCGATCACCATGTAAACATATTAAAAAATGTTGGGAGTAGCAGCTATCAACCTGACCATGCACCCTACGGACCAATCACAGCTGAGATTGAGCCAATCAGACCAATGAAAGCAGAGCTTGAGCCAATCACACCAATCGGAGCTGAGTTTCTCAAGAGTGAGTCCTTTTTGACCTCGGGGAGCAAAATTAGAAGCCCTGAGTGAAGGCCCCCAGTGGGCCCGGTTATCGTTAATTTCTTGGAATATGTTTTATGCATAACTCCGTATCCCATAGTGTACATTGTCGCAGATACAGAGCTCACATAGACGGGGGGCGGCTGCAGGACGCACATACAGTACATACAGGGCAGGTTAACCAATCCGCTTACGGTCTGGGGAGGGACTCCATTCACCCCGTGAGTCAGCCATGAGGTTTTAGTGGGACAGGGGTATCATATACCGGCTCTCAGCAGCTGAGGTGACAGGCAGATGTCCCAAACCTCCCTCTGCCCCCCATGTCAGCATGGGATGCACCCCCACCCACATCACTGGGATTCCTGAAGGCTGATTTTAGCTTCAGTATCTCGCCACGTGAACACTCAGGCTTGGTGTGTGTGTGTGGGGAGTGGGGGGGGGCGTCGTACAGGAGCAGGACATTAGGGGTGACGGAACTTTGCAGTGAAAACTGTACCTCCCTTATGATCTGAAGACTGACTGCGATTCTCATGCGGATTTACTGTCTGCATTATTGAAGCAGGGGGAGGATCATCAAAAATAAACCTGCAGGACTGATCGATATCACCCTGTTAGATGGCAGCGACTGATGGCTGCCATCTGTCAAGCCCCCACCCCGAGCCTGTGTCACTCTAACCTCCCCTGTCGCTTTCGCTCAGGCTCCCAGAGCGCTGCCTCTGTTGCGGCGTCCCGCCTTGAGCAGGCCTGGTCCGAGGTGTCCGGCAACAGCTCCTCCCACCGGCAAGGCCCCGCCCACATCTGGGTGACCCTGGAGCGCATCTGGCTGCAAGCAGGTGGGCATCCCATAGTGGGCATGTGTTAGTGACGACGTTTCATTGGTTGGTTCCTGGCCAATAAGTATCAAGTGTCAGTCAATACCGTACACTGACTGTGCTGTGTGCTGACGGCAATGTGTAAACAGGTTACTGGACGTCAGGGATCTGAGGCTGATGCCTCTCACGGTTATACACAAAGACTGTTAAAATCATCACTTCTTATACCTAAATGCAATACAGGTCAAATATTTTTTGCAAGTCTTTGGGTCAATTTTATTATTATTTGCATGTGAGCTTGTGATTGGCTGCAGTGACTCATGTGCCTGAGTGTCACCATGTTAAGCTGAAAATCCTAGCAGACATTATGGGATGGTGCTCAGTGTTTCTGGGATCTAGCCTTCCGGCTACAGTTATGACCGATGGCACGTCAGTGTGTGATCCCGCCTCCCAACAGGCCGCACATTTGGGCCGGACCTCTGACGGGTCCAAGTTTGGTACTGCTGGAAGATCTGTAGTGCTTCCACATTTGGACAGGATGCCGAGGTCATCTGTCCAGCACCAGGATCCAGAATCTGTAGTCCTTTATAATGCAAATACTTCCTTGTATTACTCTTTTTTGATTGGTGGAGTCAGTGCCCCCGCCCACACCAGCCCCTGACCCCTTTTCCCAACTCTTCACTTTTCCCAAGACTCTCCTTATAGCTGTCGGGACCCCCTTAAGGTCCCTTCCCAGAAATCCCCTGGGACAAGTCATTTCCTGTTCCAGGCAGCCCTGCTGACCTGCAAAGCGGCGAACCCTTTTAGCACTGCTCTCTGTGCCCCCAGAGATTGCTCTCAGTGCTACACCTGATTGGACCATTTCTAAAGAGGAATCCCTCTGGACCCACCAATTTGTAACTGCATTTGGAATAATTATGCATGGGAGTTTAGTAGGGAATGTGTGATATGTGGCTATTATGTGAAATGACCTTTTCTATTTAGAAAAGAGATTCGTGTGTAAAAAGGTGCTGTTAATGGATTTTATCTTTCCAATGTGTCTGGAGCGTATTTCTGCACACTCAGAAGTCGCCAGCTGAGCCCCTTACCTCAGCAAACAAACAAAATGATGGAAGAATCCAGACTAACAACAGGGTGGATAATTGGTAAAATGAGATTTTTTGAAATTTTACTTCTACTCTCACTCGAAAAGTTTGATCAGCCGGCATCAGCAGGGCATGCAGTCCGGCCCCCCACCTTTCGAGATAACATGCATAGGTGCATAATGAAAAATGTGACAAAGCAGGCGAGGCTAGTATCCATAGAAACGTTCAAAATTAAAAAAACGTCTTCAACAGGTACATAACCCTGTAAACACATATTCGATACGTGGCATCCCACCTCTCTCGGAAGTGCCAGGAGTCTCCCCCAGGTTGACAGCAGCCCCTTGACACCCGCAGATGATGTGCAATATCCCAGAAAACTGCTATTCCACTATTCAGAGGCAGCAAACTCACCTGGGTGGAGGTTTTACCACTGTATCCCTACCCCCAATCTGCCCCCCCCCCACCCCGAAAGAGCACTAGGCTTGGGTGGTGTCGAATTTCAAAAATCATTGTTTTAACATTTTAATGCTGCATTTAGTGTTGTATTTGATTAAAAATAAGACGTGTGAACTATTGGCACTATATCATAATTAACAGTCAGTAACACGTGGCACTAATGTACATACAATGGAAATTTCTGCTTTTTATCCACAGTCCAGCCCCTGAAAGTTTAAATGGCAGTAAACTAGCCTTTGGTTAAAAAGTCTGATATACAGTATCAAACATATAAGTTTCCAGTTTACCCTTCGTCCCACCTAAACGGCATTCATTCTATCGGGAGGTCAGCTTCCTAAAAGCGCAATGAGAATGAGTCTCCAGCAGTTTGTCTGTCCCCCGCTGCCTGGAGACAGCTTCCTGCAGCCTCGCCTGCCATTGGTCAGTGCAGGGCAGGGGGGCGTGCCCCCTTCGTGGCCAGCTGGGAGCCAGGCTGCAGTTACAGCACTAGCGTGCGTTGCCCTTATTTGGTCTAGTGCCTGGTTAGCGCCCAGTGCTGCTGGCCCTGTGTGTGTATGCTTGTTGCTAATCCATGCGTACAACCAGGTGTGTGCAGGAAGTGGGCGTCTTTTAATCAGCCCCTGACAAGCAGCAGGAGGCAGATGATTTATTTTACAGCTGTCTGAGGTTGCTGTCTTCCCTGGGTTTATGTTGCAGGGGCGAGCAGAGCCCTTCCCTTTCAGTCATGCAGAATAACATGCAGCCGTATAGGTTTGTGTCGACTTCTCACTTTGTATTCCTTGGATTTTCTGCTACAGAGTCTCCTAAAGAGGCTGAGGGTTCCGGCAGGCCAGCCCTGGACTTCCTGTCTGGGTTTTGGGTCGTTTGCCAGCCTCTGTTGTGGTCATGTGTGAGTGGGGTCCTGGGATGGCTGAGCCAGAAGGGGTTTATGGGTAGCCGCATGCCAGGGGGGTTTGACATGAACGTACACACGGTCACACATGACCCTGTGGTTTTCCTGGTTCCACAGAGCGACCCATCTGTCTTATATTTCTCCACTCTGACCGCCCTTGATCACGGTCCCTCTGTTGCCCATGACTTAGTCCTTGGGGGGGGGGGGGTTGGTTGCTGCCGCTACCTGGAGTTCAGTCCAGTAACATGTCGCCATGTGGATCAGGGGTCAGGGTTAGCGCAGGTCAGAGGTCTCTGAAGGGTTCTGCGGACGTCCCAGCTCGAATCTCTGGTTTACCAGTCTGTAGACGCATCTCCGATTAAAAGATGGATGTGGTCCCCAGTTCCTAGTCATGAGGAAGTGTGTTTTGAAGCTGTGAGGGGGGGCGACGGGCGGCTCAGCGGGTGAACATGTTGCCAGGAAGGTTGCCTGTTCCAAGCCCACACTGGGCGGTGATGTCACCGTTGCACTCCTGAGCAGGTCCCTTAACCTCGACCCTGGGTTCTCAAAGAAATGTATAAAAGTGCCTAATAGATAAATGTAGTTTATGAGTGACCTAAAGTTAGTGCTTGTTTTTGTCTGCATAATGTTCATTAATAATGCTGCTCGGCATCCGTCTTTAAGTCTCGATCTGTCTTTGCTTATCAGAGGGAAATGGGCTGGCATGTTCTGTCTCTCCCCAGGGGAGCTCTTCATGGCGGAGCGGCGGGAGAAGGAGGCGCAGTTCTGTGCCCAGGAGGCGTCGGCGGTGTCCCCGGCCTCCCACGCTGTGCTCCTGCTGCGGGGCCGCCTTGCCGAGCTGAGGGGCTGCGACAGCGAGGCCAAGACGCTGTACGATGAGGCACTGACCATCCACCCCCAGGGACACCGCATCCTCATGCATATGGTGAGGACACGCACGCACACGCAGAGTCTGCACACACCCCGATATGTCCCTCACGTACATGCGTGTGCCCGGCTGCACACCAACGCACATATGCATGCATATGCTCATCTTGAAGTCCTTCCTGCAAATTCCTCTATGGGAAACACTCTCAAACACATGCTCAGACATGCAGGCAGACACGCACTCAGATGCCTGAGCAGACACACACTGAGATGCGCCTGCGCAGACACGCACTCAGATGCCTGAGCAGACACGCACTGAGATGCGCCTGCGCAGACACGCACTCAGATGGCTGAGCAGACACGCACTGAGATGCGCCTGCGCAGACACGCACTCAGATGGCTGAGCAGACACACACTAAGATGCGCCTGCGCAGACACGCACTCAGATGCCTGAGCAGACACACACTAAGATGCGCCTGCGCAGACACGCACTCAGATGCCTGTGCAGTCACACAATAAGATGCACACATAGACAAGGCACTCGCTCAGGTTTTTTTATAACTTTTGTTCTGGATCATCCATTCATTTCCTTGGCCATTCCTCTATAACCTTATCCCCTCCCCAGCCCTAACCTTAACCATAAGTAATCATAGAAAATATAAGGACTTTTGACATTTTTATTTTTTTGATTGCAGTCACAGATTTTTATAAAATTGAGCTTCTGGAAAAATGTCTCCACACGATAAAAAGTTACCGATTTTTATCCCATTGTGGGGAAACACACACTCAGGCCCAGATACACACGAAGTCACGCAGATACACACTCAGGCCCACGCGGAAACACACACTCAGGCCCACGCGCAAACACACACTCTGGCCCACGCGCAAACACACACTCAGGCCCACGCACAAACACACACTCAGACGCACACGCAAACACACACTCAGGCCCACGCGCAAACACACACTCAGGCCCACACGCAAACACACACTCAGGCCCACACGCAAACACACACTCAGACGCACACGCAGACACACACTCAGATGCACACGCAGATGCACACGTAGACATGCAGGAGCCCTCTAACCCCTCCCCCTGTACCCCGCTCAGTCAACAATCCACAGTCTACCAGCACTGACATGCCCGTCCGCCTAGCTGTTGTTGAGTGTGTTGCTATGGCGATAGGCAGCCGACTCCGCTACCCCGGTTGGTGCCCATTGCGATATTTTCATGAGCTCTGTGACCTTCTGGGTGGCGGCTCCACCTCTTAATGGAGATGGCCCCACCCACCGACAAGCCTCAAATATTGCGGACAGCAGGGGGCATTGTAGCGAACTCCCAGTGTTCCAGAACGCCTGGGTGTTGGTTTCCATGGGGACCAGCGAGGGGGTGTGTGAAATGAGAGCGTTTTCAGACTCTGATGGGGCTGTGTCTTGGGGGAAGTGGGCCATGCTTTCATTAAATTGTGCGTCATTCTACCATCAGAGGAAAGATAAAGTGCAGATGGTCCAGGCCACTCTGTCTTCACAGCTGTAGGTGGGACTGGTGCAGGTTGGAGAGCTGCTGTTTTCACAAGGTGTGTAGGTAATCCAGAATGTGGCTCTGAGCTAAGACAGGCCCTATCCCAGAGGTTCTGATTCAGAAGTGACGGCTCTTGAACCCGTGGCCTTTGTCCACGCTGTGGGAATAGGCGCCTTTCTCTGTGGCACGCCGTGCATCTCAGGCACCAGGGGTGGATGGTGTCTCCGTGGCTACAGTCTTGTGTCAGTTCCTCGGATCTTTTCTTTCCCATAGTCCCATAGTGGGGTCGTCGAAGTCCATCTTCCATGCTGCATTAGGTGCTACCTCTACATAACCTGATCTGTGATTTGTTTTATTACTTGTCCTCTGTTGTTATTTCACAATTTTTGTCCTGTTTGGCAGAAGACCTTGGCTATGTCTCTGTGCCCTTACCTGTAATAGTGTCTTTGGCCCAATATAAGTACAAAAGAGGTGTTTTCCTAAGCACACTGAGAGCTTCTTGTGTTGTGATGTAACTCCTTGTAATGGGTAATCCATAGGAAGGCCTTTCTGGCTTGTTGTCTTAAACCAGGCGGTGGATCATGCCTCCACTCCATCTGACTGTATTCAGTTCGTACAGTGGCCATCTTGTAATTACAATCTGGGGCTTGCTATCATCCCTTTGGCAGCACCACCCCCCCCACCCCTCCCATTTCTGTATATGTCGGGATCCCCTGTGAGGCATCGTCAAGGCTCCCACAACCCTCACATTTCACTCACAGACTTTGTTCTCTATGTTTAAATATACAATCGTTATATCTTCATTTAAGCCAACTTCCATTACATACATTTTGATTTAATTAAATTGCTCTCAATTGTATAAAAATTAGAAAAGGATCAGTGGGCTGGAGTTCAGCCAGTACTTTCGAGTATCCACTAATTAACGAGAAGCCCTCGTTCATCCGACTAAACACGCTTCCCGTTTTAGCTACTTAATTGACACTCAGGCAGTCAGGCTGTAGATTAGGTTTCACCCCCACCATCAAGGAGGTGGTGGCACCAGGTTCGACTGTCAAGTCATTCCTTCAGCTACTTACTCTGCCCACCATGTTAGAAGGTGCAGGGAATCTCAAGTCAGACCACCTGGCTGCACGCTGACTTTTGCCCCATGGAAGAGGAGGAAGTGGAGCCACCTAATAGACGTTTTGACCTTTTGATCATTTCATCTTGTATTGTGCTTCCAATCCATGGTCAAATTCAACACGCCAGTTGGGAGTCCTGCAGGACCGGTGTCCTGTGGGTAATGGAGTTGGCCAACTATAGCTGTATGAAAGGTCGGGGTGGGGGGGCATTTGGAAAGCATACAGTTACAGCAAAGCGGAGGAGAAATGACACGGTCAAAGACATTTGGACCAGCCTTCAAGGAAATCAAACAACTGTGTAACATGGCATTATGTAATAACAGAACAACTCGACCCTGAGAATAACTCAACAAGGTGTGAATGAAGGCATCCATTCTTTGTTTATCACATAATGCTCGTTGTTTATTACATAATGCACCATATCATTACATTTTCATCATAAAAAGTACATCTACTGCATTTTGTAATAACCACTGCAATATATAATGATTTATATCAAAATGTGGGAAAATTTCTTACATATTGCATTCAAGCTGTCTGTTACAAAATGTGACAGATTGTTACAAAATGTGACAGATTGTTACAAAATTGGGCTGCTAATACATAACGAGTGACAATTTGTTACATTTTGTCGAGTTATTACATAACGTGATGTAATACATTATGTAATAACTGCATTATGTAATAACTAGACAAAGTGTGAATGAAGACATCCATTTTGTTTGTTTATTACATAATGCACTGTATTGTTACGTTTTGTCATAAAATTGCAACTCCCTCATTTTGTAATAACCATCGCAATACATAGTAATTTATTACAAATATGGGGAAATTTCTTGCACATTTAGTTCTAGCTGTCTATTACAAATTGTGGAAGATTATTATAAAATGCAGGTGCTGTTACATAATCAAGTGAATATTTGTTACTTTTTGTCAATGTATTAGATAATGTGGTGTTATGACATGATGATCAATGCTGGAATGTCCTGTGAGCTGAGTGGGGGGGGGGGGTGCATCTGAGGGAAGGGTGCTGGGAAGTCACATGACATGCTGAGTCACATGCTCTATCAGGGCTGAGTGATGGTGTTAGGCTGGTCACCGGAGTGGGGGGGGGGTTAATGTGTGTGTGACGGCTCTCAGAGACACCATCAAGTCTGGCCTCAGACCTCACTGCCGGACCGGGGGGGGGGTAAGCTTATGGTATTGGATTGTGGTCCGTTGAGGTTTAGCCGTGATTAATGGCCTTTGAATGGCCACAGCAGACACTGGCAGACCAGACTGAAATAAAACAACCAAACGATCGTGGGAAGTTACTTTGACATATTGCCTGAAGCCTCAGACGGACACCAATTAATGTCTCAACTGTCACGAAGTGAGATTTAACAATCCGATATATTATAGGACGTCGTGTTACATTTGTGTGTGTATACCTTAATTATCATTATTTATAGGAATACAAAAATGATATATTTCTGTGGTTAATGGCCTATCCGACCGCTGACAATTTATAAAGCAGTTAAAGCTTGCTTGGGGGCTGAGTCTGAGTGGCAGTGTTTCTCATTGGCTGTTGCTGGAGGGGGGTTGGCTCTCATTGGAGCACCTCTGCGTGCACCTTGGGTCAGTGGGCAGGTAACAGCCTTAGCTGGGGTGGAGTACGAGTTGCATGCGGCTGGTGAGTTGTTTTTGACCGGGGGTGTTGTCTTTTTCTCCTCAGATTAAGCCATAATCTGTGAGCTGTGTACTGTCTCCCCCCCCCATGCCCAGAAAACTCCATGCCGAGTGTCTTGTGACTGTGGGACCAGTTGCTTCATGCCAACTCTCTCTCTCTCCATTTTACTGCCTTTGGGATGGTAGGCATTACCTACAGTCCCTCCCTCACACACACACACACACACACACACACAATAGTTTGTAAATTTGTGGGGACTCTCCATTCATTTAATTTCTATGGGGAAAACTGTTATCCCAACATAAAATTGAGTTTCCCCTTGTGGAGATCGAAAAAATAGTCCCCATAGTGACAAAATCACAGGCATTTGGTCCCCACAATGTAATATATACACAACCCATGCACACACACACACACACGTCAGGTAAACATATCTTTATGGGGACCGCTCATTCATTTCTATGGGACAACTCACACCCAATCTGTAGCTTGTGAGCTGTGTGTTTATTTGTGTGTGTGTGTGTTTGTGTGTGTGTGTGCGCACCCTTATGAGCAACCATGTGGCCATGTGTGATCTTCAGCACCATGACCTTAAAGATCACATGTCCCTCTGGGCTTCCCCGGTGCTCTGGCTATTACCCAGAATGCCCGTTGGCTGTGGCGTGCTGTGACCGCATTGCTGGCAGCACGGGGCCCACTAGCGGCTGCCATCGGTGGCATCTGACAGCACTGAGGCGGCAGAGCTT